GGTGCCGCTGGGCGTGCGTTCATTAGAAGCGGTTCAAAATGTGTGGAGGATGCAACTGAATTGCCGACATGGAGTGTTACGTGATACCCAGGCAGCAAAACCCCAGCACTCAACTTGATTCCCAGGTTGAGGATCAGAGGGGAACGATTTGGCGGTCGCTTAAAACTGTTTACAATTAAAAACTATTCTGGAATGGGTCCGAGGAAGTGTTTTTGCACGTGAAGATATCATCTTCTTGGTTATTTCGGTAAAGTCACGTAGAAGGGAAATAATAAAATTATAAAAATAAAACGTAATAAAATACAATTCTCACGACGTTTCGGCCACAACGCAAGCAGCCGTCCTCAGGTGAAGAACAGGTCTGTCGAGAAGACAGCGTTGTGGCCTAAACGTCGTGAGAATGATTTTATAATGTTTTATTTGTATTATTTTATTATTTCCCTTCTACGTGACTTTACCGAATGAACCAAGAAGATGAATCCCTGCAGTCACGAAAGCTTTAAAGTGAAGATATCAGTCGGGAAGAGACCAGTCCATTCCAGCGAGGAAACTTCTTATTAAGTTGCCCAGTTAACGTTGAAGAGTCTTTGGTGTTTGTCGCGTTTGTAACATTTTGTGCAATGAACGCACGAGCCAAGCCCGTCACTGTCTGCGAAGTGGCAGGAGTGGTGCTGCACCAGAGGTCGCAACCGGGTACCCGATACCCGTACCCTACCCGATACCCGGCTACCCGTACCCGGCCGGGTACAGGTCACCGTTTGTCACTCATTTCCCAACGTCTTGTCTCTTCTCACAATTCAAGTTCCTAGAATCAACCCACCCGCGCCTGCAACGTGGCTTCATCCCAGAGGTCGCAATCGGGTACCCGATACCCGTACCCTACCCGATACCCGTACCCTACCCGTTCCCGGCCGGGTACCCGTTTGCGACCATGGTGCGGCCGGGTACGGGTAAGGAATCAAAACCCGTTTGCGACCTGTGTGCTGCACACACGGGTTGTGCATTGTTCTCTGGCCTGCTTTTGACAGGCATCTCGCAGATAAGCAGACAAGATGCCTCCTTCCCGTATTGGTCCATCCATAAAAAAACACAAATTTTTGACACACTCACTTCGGCCACGCGGTCTTCTGGAAGGGCTTTTTGTGTTATCAGAAGCATTGGACTAACACAAGCAAACTCTGTAAAGGTTTCGACGTGCAGTTTCTCATCAGCCGAGTGAGGCCTACGGCTTGTCTTTAAGTTAAATATGTTGTGCACGATGATACAAATGATCATTGGTGTTATGTATTTCATAGTTCTGATCCACGCTACAAATATGCCTTCAAATACGTCCACGTTCACCAGTATTTGTTTCAGGTAGCCCGGCTCTGCTGATGAGACACTGCATCTCAAAACCTGTCCAGAGTTTGCTTTTATTAAACCGAAACTGCTGAAAAATGCGTAATGCCTTGAAAGCCAAGTGACCAGCAGAGTTGTAAAATGTTATCTTTCTCTATAGATATTAAAGGCAGTTGTGAATGTGTGTCTGTTCAAAATGTTTAGCGTACTTCCCGACATGCAACAAACTTTAAATTTGCCATGCGGGTACTTTCCAGACAGTACATCATGCAAACATTCTAAAAATAGACTTTTGTGTTTTTTTTGGGGGGGGGGGGGGGGGCGCAACAATGCAGAGATTTTGCACGGCAAGTGAGCTGTGACGTCACATCTGTCACGTGACCCGCGCATGTGGAAGCGTCACGTCACGCATCCCCCCCCCACAGCAACCCTTTGCGATTCCCCTACACGGGGGTCAGAGCAAGGGGGCGGAGTTCGTTGTGTTCTTTGATGACGAGGTTCAGAGAGAGAGAGGGGGGAGAGGGATTTCGCTGCTGTAGTTCACAGACCCCCCGACGCCTCGTTTCTACGGCCAGTGGGAAATGAGCCGCCAGCCACGAGCAGCGTCGCCTCGAGAGCTCGTGGGCAGAGGTCGCAAACGGGTTTTGATTCCTTACCCCTCGTACCCGTACCCAGCTGTACCAGGGTCGCAAACGGGTACCCGTACCCTACCCGTACCCTACCCGTACCCTACCCGTACCCAGCTGTACCAGGGTCGCAAACGGGTACCCGTACCCTACCCGTACCCTACCCGTACCTGTACTCGGCCGCACCTGGGTCGCAAACGGGTACCCGTACCCTACCCGTACCCGGCCGGGTATCGGGTAGGGTACGGGTATCGGGTACCCGATTGCGACCTCTGGGATGAAGCCATGTTGCAGGCGCGGGTGGGTTGATTCTAGGAACTTGAATTGTGAGAAGAGACAAGACGTTGGGAAATGAGTGACAAACGGTGACTCACCGGTGACTCACGGCCTACCCGTACCCGGCCGCACCAGGGTCGCAAACGGGTACCCGTACCCGGCCGGGTATCGGGTAGGGTACGGGTATCGGGTAGGGTACGGGTATCAGGTAGGGTACGGGTATCGGGTATGGGTAGCCGGGTATCGGGTAGAGTACGGGTATTGGGTAGGGTACGGGTATCGGGTAGGGTACGGGTATCAGGTAGGGTACGGGTATCTGGTAGGGTAGCCGGGTATCGGGTAGGTTACGGGTATCGGGTAGGGTACGGGTATCTGGTAGGGTAGCAGGGTATCGGGTAGGGTACGGGTATCGGGTAGGGTATCGGGTAGGGTAGCCGGGTAGCGGGTAGGGTACGGGTAGCCGGGTATCGGGTAGCACCCGGCGCTGTCCGTGGTGCTGATGTTTGGGACCATTCCGTGTGCGGCGAAGACGGCTTCGCATTGGCCACGGCACGCGAGGCGCGGGCTGAGCGGGAGCAGCTTCGCTAGACGAGCTCTCGGCCACTGAGGAGAGGCCGGTGTTGAGCCGCACCTCCTCGCACTGAGCAGCGCGGTGAGGTTTGGTCAAACAAACGTCGTGACCAAGTTCAAGTACTAGGTGTAGCCCTTTGAGCCATTCGGCTCTTGAATCGGGTACAACCGCAACAAACAAAAAAACATGAACAAAAAACATCTTGTAGTGAATATGTGACTGAGTGCAAACAGAAAATCCAAGAAAAGACAGCAAAATATTGCAGAAAAAAGCACCGTTACACACCAACGCTGTGTCAAACATCTCAGTGGGATGCAAGTCAAACAACAACAACCACAAGACAACTTAGATTAAGGCAGTCTAACTCTGTACTACAACAAACAAACATGGCCAAACCAATACACTTTTCGAAATCACCAAAATAAAGCCATGAAAGCAATGACACAGAGGAGGCAGGAGGATGTCTTCATGCGGCAATGAGGCTGTCAAGGACGACGCTACGTCACATTATTACAATCAAAACGTCAAACCGATTTCCTGCTTAAATGAGAAGCGAGGCATTGGTGGCTCGTGTTCTGTTCACATGTCCTGAGCCACTGGTGGGAATTCCACGTTCCCATGGCAGGAGCACTTCTATCCAGAGGACAACCACTGTTGACTTCCCGAGAAAAAGAGGTACACGTTTTCGACCCCACAAGGCGGATGATGTTCCCCTCCCTCCCCCCGTCCCCCGCGCTCTTGAACGTGACGTCACCTCCGCCTCGGTCACTGCAGACGTCGTTCCAGTTGCCAATCCTTATTTGGGCAAAGCCACGCCCAGTGACGGGCGGCTCATTAACATAAAGAGTTCGTTAAAAACGTCACCAGTATATTGCGACGGTCTCATTAACATAATTTATTCATACGTACCCAGGAAGTGACGTCATGTCACCTACTACCGCGTGACGTCACGAGGTCACAGGAAGCTGTCGCTCCGCGCGTGCAGTGAAATCCGAGGTGAGAAATTCTCATCGTCGTGGTGGTTGTTGTTGTGGTTGTTGTTGTTGTGGTTGTTGTTGTTGTTTACCAAGGTAGAGCCTCGCTCTCTCTCTCGTAGGGATGTCACTAGAGCAGCAGCAGCTTGTGAATCGATGTCCAAGTTGGAACTTTACAACGCGGGGCCTAGACACGCGGGGCCTTGCCTCCTGCCCTCGCCTGGTCGCGTTTGCTTTAATTCCCTCCCTTAAGTTTAATTTGTCTTCACGCGGCTCGCTACTTTGTCACTTTGGTTTATTGTAGATATTAACGCAGTTTTTTTTTAGTTTTTTTACAGCCCAAGCCCGCCTTGAGCTGCTGTACCGCTCTTGTTTACAGAAGCTACCTGCCCACAACAACAACAAGGTGGGGTTTTGTCAACGCGTGTCTCAGGTGTTTTGACTTAAAACTTTAGTAACTGCAGCAATTCATATTCTTGGTTCTTTCGGTGAAGTCACGGAGATAGAAAATTTAGTAAAATAACAGATAATAAAATTAATAAAAGTAAACAAATTGTAAATAAATAAATAAAACCCACGACGTTTCGATCGCAACACACGTTGCCTTTGTTTGATTTTATTATCTGTTGTTATTGTCTATCTACGTGACTTTACCGAAAGAACCAAGAATACGTGTGGAAATGTGTATCGGTTAAAGACGCTGCACGCGTGCTGATGTTGACTCTAAATGTGGAGGGGAAACCCGGGAGATTCGGAGGAAAATCCACGCGACCACGGAGAGAGAGAGACACGCAAACTCCAAATATACAGCAGCAGCAGGCGTCAGGGTCGGGATCGAACCCACGACTTCCTGTATACCAGGCGAGGTAGTTAACATCTCACCACGGAGAGAGAGAGACACGCAAACTCCAAATATACAGCAGCAGGCGTCAGGGTCTGGATCGAACCCACGACTTTCTGTATACCAGGTGAGGTAGTTAACATCTCACCACGGAGATACGAGGGCTTCCAGGCATTTTTATGACCATTTGCACTCTCATTGTGTGCAATAACAGCCTCTGTGATGAATTTGGGAAACTTTTTCACTACATCATGAATATATGAATAAGTATAGACGTGTAAGTCACGTGTGACTGTGTATATGCATTACTCTGTGTCTGACGTGTAGGTGGTGTGGATATAATTTTTTTCTGTCTGCAGCTGTCGCTTGGTCTGATGGAGCAAAGGCGCTCAGCACAGCTCAGTACGGCAAGGCAACAATGCGACCGGCGTGGATACAGCACGGAGCGGACTGGAAATTTGACACAGCACCAGAGAGCTCACGCAGGAGAGAAACCCTTCAAGTGCAGTGTGTGTGGGAAGGCATTTTCACGGTCATATTATCTTAAAAGACACCAGAGAGCACACACGGGAGAGAAACCCTTCAAGTGTAGTGTGTGTGGGGTGGCATTTTCACAGTCAAATAATCTTAAAAGATACCAGAGAACACACACAGGAGAGAAACCGTTCAAGTGTACTCTGTGCGGGAAGGCATTTGCACAGTCATCTTCTCTTAAAAAACACCAGAGAATACACACAGGAGAGAAACCCTTCAAGTGCAGTGTGTGTGGGAAGGCACTTTCACGGTCATCTGTTCTTAAAAGACACCAGAGAACACACACAGGAGAGAAACCTTTCAAGTGTACTCTGTGCGGGAAGGCGTTTTCTTTTTTACATCATCTCGTAAGACACCAGAGAACACACACGGGAGAGAAACCCTTCAAGTGCAGTGTGTGTGGGAAGGCATTTGCACATTCATCTACTCTTGTAACACACCAAAGAACACACACGGGAGAGAAACCCTTCAAGTGCACTGTGTGTGGGAAGGCATTTTCACAGTCATCTTCTCTTATAAAACACCAGAGAACACACACGGGAGAGAAACCCTTCAAGTGCACTGTGTGTGGGAAGGCACTTTCACGGTCATCAGATCTTAAAAGACACCAGAGAACACACACGGGAGAGAAACCCTTCAAGTGCATTCTGTGCGGGAAGGCGTTTTCAGATTCTTCCAATCTTCAAGTACACCAGAGAAGACACAAGCATCAGAAGATCCACAAGGACTGGAGTGTGAAATCAGCTTGTGAAAGTCAAAGTGCTGCAATGAGCCCATCCCTCATCAAACAAGAACCGGAAGAAAATCCCAGCTTGGACACTTTTAAAGGTAACGAGGTGAAATATGAAGAGGTGAAGGTGGAATGTGAAGAAGTGATGGTGAAGAGTAAAGAAGTGAAGGTAAAGTGTGAAGATGAAGATTCAAGTCCAGAATGTGACCTTCACATGGATGGAGGCAACGTGAAGCAGGAGGAGAATTCTGACTGAGGCAGAGCGAGGCAACTCCCAGCAGTTTGTGGAAGTGGAGGTGTCGGTGGACTTCCTCCGAGACAATACAAAGTGAAATGGAGACCCGGTAAATGTGTAAGCCAGAGACGATGTCGCTCCAATAGATGCACCTTTGTCACAGGCCTTTAATGACAATAACGTGAAGTTGAACACTCAGTTCCTAGGTTCAGTCTGCAGGGTAAGGGTGGCCAGTCTTTGTGGACCTGTGTGTTGGGTAGATCTCTGAGAGCCAATAAGCTCCCAAGCATTCACGATGTTATAATTGCTTTTACATGGTGCTGACTTAATCCGCTCAGCAACTCGGAGTTTTGTATCGTACCTCGTCTCAAACATTCTAAGAGCACCCCAAGTAGCAGCTGCCCCTGTGTGGCACAAGGTGGTGGCCCTGCACCGGCCTGCGTGTGGACAAGAGCCTGTCAGTAGGGGGCGATGATTGATCTGTCATCTCAGCTGTGTCGTTAGTAGGTAATGTTTAGAATTTGCTACATTTTTGACCCAGACGCCAACATGCAAAGGCCTACTCGTTTTGAATTGCACAATTATGTGTTTCACATCCACTGTTCAGTAGAGGGTGCATTCTTTAAATAGCTCCTTGTTAATAAGATGTTATCTAAACTAAATTGTTCAATTTTGGCAGAACGTAATCAACCAGGTAGGGTGTTGACTGTTGTGTTGGCTGACTCTTGTGTTGTGTTGCATTATATTTCTAAGTTCACTATGTTTTCTCATTCACTTGTTGTACCTGACGATGGTTGCTTGTGTTCCAATCGAAACGTCGTATTCTATTAAATTTCGTTCTACGAGACTTTACTGAAAGAACCAGAGAATAAGATGTCATCTGATGCAGTATATTTCACTGCAGTAATTAAATGTTGTGCATATGCCTGTCAATAATTTAGAATGAATACTTGTCTGATTGTGTGCGTACATGTAACGCACACTGTACGTACACAATGCACACACAGTGTACACAGTGCACCCACACTGTACACTGTGTGTGTGTACACACTGTGTACACACACACACGCTCACAGTGTACACACACTGTACACACACTGTGCACACAGTGTACACACACAATGTGTACACACAGAGTGTACACACACACAGTGTACATAGTGTGTGTACACACACACTGTGTACAGTGTGCGTGTGTACACACACAGTGTACACACGCACAGTGTACACACGCACAGTATACACACACAGTGTACACACGCACAGTGTACACACGCACAGTACACACACACACACAGTGTACACACACACACACAGTGTACACACACACACTGTACACACACACACAGTGTACACACACACGCACAGTGTACACACAGTGTACACACACACTGTGCACACACACACAGTATACACACACAGTGTACACACGCACAGTGTACACACACAGTGTACACACGCACAGTGTACACACGCACAGTACACACACACACAGTGTACACACACACACAGTGTACACACACACACACTGTACACACACACTGTACACACACGCACAGTGTACACACACACTGTGCACACACACACAGTATACACACACAGTGTACACACACACACTGTGTACACACACACAATGTAGACACGCACTCACTGTGTACACACACAATAATGTCCACGTTGTAGTTGCTCAGCTCACACACCCAAGGGGTCTCTGTTCAAGAGATGGAGCAATGGAAATTTAATCTAAAAACTTAAACTCCAATCCAGCTCTGTGACGTCACACTCCACCACGCCCTTGTGGTGCGTGACGTCACCTCCGCGATGGTCACTGCTGAATCTGTGGGAGTGGAGTGTCTTGTATCCCGGAAGTGACGTCATGTCACTTTCTGCTGCCGCGTGACGTCACGAGGTAACAGGAAGCTGCCCGCTCCACGCTTTTTCTGAAATCTGAGGTGATAAATTCTCGTGGTGGTTTGTGGTTGTTGTTTACCAAGGTAGAGCCTCTCGTAGGGATGTCAATTGAGTAGCATTGGAATCGATGTCCAGGTTGGAACATCACAAGGCGCGGCCTGGCCACGCGGGGCCTTGCCTCCTGCCCTCGCCTGAGTTAGTTTAGTTTGTCTTCACGCGGCTCGCCACTTTGTAACTCTGTTTTATTGTTACAGTGAGGGGACAAGTATTTGATCTAAATTTAGATTTAAAGCTTCTTTCGTGACTGCAGGGATTCAACTTCTTGGTTCTTTCGGTAAAGTCACGTAGAAGGGAAATAATAAAATAATAAAAATAAAACATAAAAATTCTTATATTACTATTATATTATTTTATTGTTTTATTTTTTGTTGTTTTATTACTTACCTTCTACGTGACTTTACCGAAAAACAATAAAATAATTATATTATTATACCATTTTATTATGTTTTATTTTTATTATTTTATTACTGCCCTTCTACGTGACTTTACCGAAAGAACCAAGAAAAAGTATTTGATCCCCTGCTGATTGTGTACGTTTGCCCGCTGACAAAGAAATGATCAGTCTGTAGTTTTAATGGTAGGTTTATTTGAACAGTGAGAGACAGAATAACAACAAAATCCAGAAAGACGCGTCAAAAATGTTATGAATTGATTTGCATTTTAATGAGGGAAATAAGTATTTGACCCCCTCTGCAAAACATGACTTAGTACTTGGTGGCAAAACCCTTGTTGGCAATCACAGAGGTCAGACGTTTCTTGTAGTTGGCCACCAGGTTTGCACACATCTCGGGAGGGATTTTGTCCCACTCCTCTTTGCAGATCTTCAAGTCGTTAAGGCTTCGAGGCTGACGTTTGGCAACTCGAACCTTCAGATCCCTCCACAGATTGTCTATGTGATTAAGGTCTGGAGACTGGCTAGGCCACTCCAGGACCTTAATGTGCTTCTTCTTGAGCCACTCCTTTGTTGCCTTGGGCTGTGTTTTTTTGGTCATTGTCATGCTGGAATACCCATCCACGACCCATTTTCAATGCCCTGGCTGAGGGAAGGAGGTTCTCACCCAAGATTTGACGGTACATGGCCCCGTCCATTGTCCCTTTGATGCGGTGAAGTTGTCCTGTCCCCTTAGCAGAAAAACACCCCCAAAGCATAATGTTTCCACCTCCATATTTGACGGTGGGGATGGTGTTCTTGGGGTCATAGGCAGCATTCCTCCTTCTCCAAACACGGCGAGTTGAGTTGATGCCAAAGAGCTCCATTTTGGTCTCATCTGACCACAACACTTTCACCCAGTTGTCCTTTAAATCATTCAGATGTTCATTGGCAAACTTCAGACGGGCATGTATATGTGCTTTCTTGAGCAGCGGGACCTTGCGGGCGCTGCAGGATTTCAGTCCTTCACGGCGTAGTGTGTTACCAATTGTTTTCTTGGTGACTATGGTCCCAGCTGCCTTGTGTAGTTCTGGGCTGATTCCTCACCGTTCTCATGATCATTGCAACTCCACGAGGTGAGATCTTGCATGGAACCCCAGGCCGAGGGAGATTGACAGTTCTTGTGTGTTTCTTCTATTTGCGAATAATCGCACCAACTGTTGTCACCTTCTCACCAAGCTGCTTGGCGATGGTCTTGTAGCCCATTCCAGCCATGTGTAGGTCTACAATCTTGTCCCTGCCATCATTGGAGAGCTCTTTGGTCTTGGCCATGGTGGAGAGTTTGGAATCTGATTGATTGATTGCTTCTGTGAACAGGTGTCTTTTATAAAGGTAACAAGCTAAGATTAGGAGCACTCCCTTTAAGAGTGTGCTCCTAATCTCAGCTCGTTACCTGTATAAAAGACACCTGGGAGCCAGAAATCTTACTGATTGAGAGGGGATCAAATACTTATTTCCCTCATTAAAATGCAAATCAATTTATAACATTTTTGACACGCGTTTTTCAGGATTTTTGTTGTTGTTATTCTGTCTCTCACTGTTCAAATAAACATACCATTAAAATTATAGACTGATCATTTCTTTGTCAGTGGGCAAACGTACAAAATCAGCAGGGGATCAAATACTTTTTTCCCTCACTGTAAATATTCACGCAGTTTCTATTTTTCATTTTTTGTACCAGGCCAAGCCGGCTTGAGCTGCTCTACCACTCTTGTTCTCAGAAGCTACCTGCCCACAACGCAAGGTGAGGCTTTGTGAACTTGTGTGTGAATGTGTGGACTTAAAACTTTCGTGACTGCAGGAATTCATATTCTTGGTTCTTTCGGTAAAGTCACTTAGACAGAAAATTTAATAAAAATAACAGATGATGAAATAAAAATTATAAAATTGTAAATAAAGAGAAAAAACAACGTTTCGATCGCAACACAAGTGGTCTTTATTTTATTTAATGTTATTATCTATTATTGATATTTTCTACCTACGTAACTTTACCGAAAGAACCAAGAATACGTGTGGAAATGTGTATCGGTCAAAGACGCTAAACGCGTACTGATGTTGACTCTAAATGTGGAGGGCAAACCCGGGGAATCCGGAGGAAAATCCACGCGACCACGGAGAGAGAGACACGCAAACTCCAAATATACAGCAGCAGCAGGCGCCAGGGCCGGGATCGAACCCACGACTTCCTGTACACCAGGTGAGGTAGTTAACATCTCACCACGTAGAGAGAGAAACACGCAAACTCCAGTTAGCCTCGGCTATGTTGATTGATCCTCAATTAATTACTTGGTGGAGTGAGGAATCATTTATTCTGAGCAGATGAAGGTGGCCAGGCATGGGTCTGGACACACCACCACCTGTGAACCATGCCAGTGTGTGACAGTGTCAAGTTTGTGTTTGCAGTAAAGTCTATTAACTCTATTGAACACAGAGGTTATATCACAACAATAGTTTATTTTTGTTTTCCTCTGGAACTCTTTGTAAGAATGGAAACAGGAAGTTAACACAGCACACACGTGCAGCTGAAAGTCGGATCTGTTCATCCCAGCCTTCAAGGACATCTGAGCCTGGATTCACACCTGAGTTGCGATTGAACATGAATTTATGC